ATGAAAGTGCTGACAAAATCTATAATTGGTTTTGTTTGACCTTAACTTAAAGTTTACTGCAGGTTTTAGATACCATGTTTACTCATCTTGAATGTCCATATTTCTTCATTGGAACCGATGTGTATGTACACATATCTAAATAAGCTATTTTTACTGAGAAAACTCATGGTTATTTTTCATAAAACCATGATCTATATTGAATCTTTTACAAATTAATACAAAATGTAAATTGAAATTAATTTAAATTGCCTTTCAAGTCTATCCAAATTAACTTAATGAGATATAATCAACTTATTATGCACTTTAAAGTCAAATCAATTTGATTGTGTCCTAGTGTCTGTTCAAGCGCCTCATGTAGCTGAGGGTTTGCCTTTTTGGTGTTGAGGCATCAGAATCGTAGCCATTGTTTAACTCTACATAATCATAAGAGGTGTCTAAATGGGTTAAAATTATTGAAGTATTTGCATATTTAAGCTCTAGCAGGTGAAGAAGTTTTAACACTTTTGGTGTTGCTTAAAGTTTGTATCACCCGAGGTTGGCCAAAATCATCTTTCAATTTCCAGTGCTACATGACTTAAACTGTGTTGGTGCGCCGTAAAACCGTACAAAAACAAAGTGTCCTTTCCAGAATAGAAAATAATTTTGACTGGTTTATTCAGCATTATCTTATTGATCGTCTGTGTAGAGGTAATTATTGTGATATATTGGTCTTCAGCTGAAAGTGATGTTCTATTAAAGTAACTTTTGGGACATAGGTGTTATATGATTTAGTGAACATGATGTCACATGTCATATAAATCTTTTTTAGAAAAGGTTCTATTCCTGTATGAGTTTGAATGTTTTGGCTTTACTTGTTGTAAAGCTGAAAGTGTTGAAATACTATTTTCCAAAAAGAATCAAACTGTAAAATAAAATGGATTTCACAGTATTATGATCATACCTGGAGAAAAATTTCGCTTGTATATTTCAATAATGAATTATAAATGAAACTATAATAAGATTTTCCCTGACAAAACATTTTCTACTTCTGAATTTAGAAAGTTTAGCTTTGCGTTGTGATCCTCTTCAACTTAACATCCTTTCATTTTGGATACTTTGGTATGATTTTATCAATAAACAAACAACAATTCTACTGACAAGGCTCTATACCCTTTAAGACCGACTTGGATAAAGATGATTGATAGCTTACTACGTATTATAATTTTGAAATAAAACAATAAGAACCATTAGTTAATGCTTTCTCATATAATTACGATTTAAGCTGTCAGTATTAACTATCACTGAATTATTTCATATTAATGTAAATTGTATTGTAGAGTTTAGAAGAAATTAAGTTATCAATTAAACAGCACCTATCGCTTGGTGATGGTGGAAGCTTTCCTTTACAATGTAGTGAAGAATCGCTAATATTTTATTATAGCCTTAAGTAACAAAAATAGTGGCAATGTCATATTGTAGTAACCCCCCCCCCCTTCGAAGAAGAGAAGTGTTTATTGTTTTGCTTAAGTCGGTAGGTCGGTCCGTCTGACTGTTTGACACATGGTTTCCGCTGATTATCTTAAAAACTATTTATCACAAAGTCTTCATATTTCACATACCATAACAAGTAGATGACACCTGTTGATTTTGGGGTCACTAAGTTGAAGGTCAAGGTCACAGGTGCCTTAAATGAGATAATGATTTCTGCTGATTATCTTCAAAACTATTCAATACAAAGTCTTCATATTTCAAACAGTGATTGGTCATAACTAGCATCACAAAGTCTTCATATTCAAGATATTGATTGATCATAACTAGTAGATGACCCTATAGACTTTTGGTCACTAGGTCAAAGGTTAAGGTCACATGGGCCTCACATGTCAGAATGGTTTCTGCTCATTAATTAAGTTACTATTTGTCTTCTTATTTCACATACTGATTGGTCATATTGAGTAGATTACCCCCTTTTGATTTTAGGGTCACTAGGTCAAAGGTCAAGGTAACAGGGGCTTTAAATGTCAGACTGGTTATCGCTCATTATCTTTGTTACTAATTATCACGAAGTCTTCATATTTCACATGTCGATTGGTCATACCTAGTACATGAGCCTTATTGATTTTGGGGTCACTAGGTTATAAGTCAACGTTACGTTAAAGGTCAATGTTAGAATGGTCTCCGCTCATTATCCTGCTTACAAAATATCACAAAGTCTTCATATTTCACATATTGATTGGTAATAACTAGTAGATGATCCCTATTGATTTTGGGATCACAATTTCAAAGGTCATTATCTTGGTTACTATTTATTACAAAGTCTTCATATTTCACGTACTAATTGGTCATAACTAGTAAATGACCCATATTGATTTTGGGGTCACCAGGTCAAAGGTCAAGGTCACATGGGCCTTAACCCTTTACCTCATATATACGCGAAACAATACACTTTCGACCTCCCCCCTCTCTCTTTAAGGCCTCAAATAGTGAAAAAATCTCTGTTTGGCCCCAAACACATGTTTTCGTTTGAGAAATGTTGAGAAAAAAGTGACCATTTTTTCGGCGCGGGCCCCCAACCAAAAGATACATCAATGGGTTGCCAGAAAGGGGATGTGCCCCCTTTTGTTTGGGGGGTTTGAAGGGGGCGGCAGTCCCCCTCATCGCCAAGAAAATTTTGGACTTGTGAGAGGCTTAAAATGACCCCAGATCGAGCATAAGGTAACGTGTAACCAACGCTAAAAAGCATTTGACTCTATCTTAATCCATTGAGAAGTTGCAGCACTTTGAAATCAATTTTGATGGAAAAAATCAACTCAAAATAGTGATTTTTGGCAATTTTGAGATGGCCCCTTGTTGCCATGGTAACAGAAAATTTAAGCCTCAGCATGTTGTTACAAAATCAATGGTCCAGTCGACATTTGTGCCGAGTTTGATTAGTATTGAAGCAGTTTTTATAGTTTTATAGCAATTTGAATTTGTAACGGGAGACTTTTCAATGAAAACATCCATTTTTCACAAAATGCTCATGAAGTAATGGGTTAAATGTCAGTGCTCATTACATTGGCTACTATTTAAGACAAAGTCTTCATACTTTACCTATTGATTGATCATAATTATTAGATGACCCCTATTGATTTTGGGGTCACTAGTTCAAAGGTAAAAGTTCCAGGGCCTTAAATGTTAGTTTGGTTTCCGCTCATTATCTTGAGAGCTATATATATCACAATGTCTTCATATTTCACATACTGATAGGTCATTACTAGTAGGTGACCCCTAATTTTGGGGTCACTAGAGTAAAGGTCAAGGTCAAAGGGGCCTTGAATTATAGCAGGGTTTCCGCTCATTATCTTGAAAGCCAGTTATCACAAAGTCTTCATAATTCACCTATTGATTGGTCATAACTATTTAATGACCCCTATTGACTTTGGGGTCACTAGTTCAAAGGTCATGATCACATGGGCCTTATATGCCAGAATGGTTTTCACTTATTATCTTGAAAACTATTTTTTAAGTCTTCATATTTCACATACTAATTATTTATAATTAGTAGCTGACACCTATTATTTTGAGGTCACTAATTAAAGGTAAGATCACAGGGCCTTAAATATAATTTTGTTCTGCCATTATCTTCACTTTTTCTTTAAAAAAAGTCTTAATTCACATACTGTTTTGTCATAAACTAGAGAAAAACCCCCCTATTTTTTTTGGGAGAAGAGATATTATGCAAAGCGTTACCTATGGGTCCTTATAAAATAATAGAAATTATGACCATGGGTCTAAATTGACTCTAACCTAGTGGTCACTTATATTACATACACTTGTTTGGAAATTACTTCTTTTGTTTAACTACAATGCCCAGAGCTACGATATTAGGCATGTAGCATTGCATAGTGGACCTCTACAAGTTATAATAATCATATAAATCATGCCCCTTTGGTCAAAAATGTACCCAGCCCTGGGGATCACTAAGTTAATGCAGACCTGTATAGTAACAATGTCTTTTAAGAACTATGTCTCAGAAACTCATTTGCCAAGAGTTTAAATATTTGATATTGGCCTTTAAATCTCCTTCAAATGGTTAATTAATCATGCACCTTGGGTCAAATTTGCTCTTGTCCCTATGTCACAAAGTTTATATAGACTTGTATAGGAAAATACATTTAAGTTTTATGTTTTGAAACTGCAATGCCAAAGACTGAGATATTTGGCATTTTGCATCACCTTGTTTTATAAATTTACCTTCCCTTGTACTTAAATTGGTCAAAACCTGAGGGTCACTTAGTTTAAATGAACTTATATAGGAAAATATGTTTTAAGTGTTTTTCTCTGAAACAACAATGCCCAGAACTTACAGTTTTGGCAAGTATATTTGCACAATTAACTTCTTCAGAAATTATGTTAGTCATACCTATTGTTTCCAAATTGGCCCAGATTTGGGGCCACTTATTTTATGCAGACTTGTTAAGGAAAACACATTGAAGTCTTCTTATGTGAAACTTTAATGCCAAGAGTTTAAATATTTTTGGCATGTAGCATTACATTGTGGTCCTTTATAAAATTGAATTCAATTATGCCCCTGGGGTCGAAAAAGGTCAAGCTTTTTGACCATTTAATAAGATAGAGCTGCAAAGTAAAGCATATTTAAGTCATCTTGTGAGGAATCAATGCACCTGGCTTATTGAAATCAGTGGTTCTACTCAGGTACCCATACATATCTGAATTACAGCATGGTAAGGCACCATAGGTCTTCTCAACTTGTAATGCTGGAAAGTCACTTTATTACCTATACTGTGTTGGTGCAACAGTAAATACGGTCACCCACTCCTGCAAAAAAAGGCAATGTGATATGACCTAATAACTTGCTTTTGCATTGAAGACATATGAACTCCAGCAATATATCCAAGGTGGGAAATCTTGGGCCATCATGACCTTTTTGTTTGAAATTTAAAATAACTATATTTCTTTGTAAGATTTTATTTGCTGAAAAAGCATACAACAAAAATGCATTTGTAGAAAAATTAATGTATTACATTATAAGTAGGCATGAAATAGTATTTTAAAGGGAATTTTATGAATTTGCAGTTGATAAATTATTTTTTTATTTTTTACAGGAAGTATTTCGGTATTTTTATTATTGTAGCTTTCTTGTTAAATAATCACACTAGTTATTCTTCTTCAGCATTTAGATTTCCTCAGATCATTTATCAGTCACGTCTATTAAAGAATATGTAACAAAATCAAATAAGCTTATAGATTTTTAAAGCAGTTTTTCCATTAAAATTATTTTCCTCATTGGTAATATGTTTTTATGACAAAACAAACTTTATTTTTAATGACTTAAATTGAATCGGTCTATAATGGATGGTTTGTGATACAAAAAAAATATGTTGATAATGTTAAGTATTAGATATAATAACAAACCGCAAAATAATTTTTAATTCATGATATAAATGTTCATACTATGTACACCACTTAGAACTTTCCAAGCAATATTTTATAAGAATATGCAAATGATATCATTTTTATTATTTTAAATCAGTTTTTGAAACAATATTGGAACATGTGCCCACTGTAGATCCATCCACTTTAATGTAGACAAAATAACAAAAGTATGCAGTTAATTATGTATTAACTTGTTTTGATAATACAGTTAAAGTTGTATTGTTCTACGACAGTTTATAGATTTGAAGGAAGTTGCTATACTTTTCATCTACAGTATCACAGCTATAATACAGCTTCTTTGTTTCTCCACACCAACATACAGCGAATGGTGCCTTCAGATCCTGCAGCACCACCTTTCCTGTAGAACAATCTCCTGATATTTCTTCTATAACATTTTTCTTCCAATCACACACAAAGACAGTACCATCATCTGACAGTGACATTCCTAAAGGGTAATTCATACCACTATAACTACCTATCACTTCACCTTGCCAGTTTAATCTTGTCACTGGCTTTATGTCCCAGTCTGATACATAGATTGAACTTCTATTACATGTGACATAATGTGGATATTTAAAAATATTTTTTCCATCAATTGTTGTCAGTATAGTGCCATTCATATCAAGGATCTGTAGTTTTGCAGGACTAAGAAATGCCACAACAAGTTTACCTTGATAACAGCTTATACCACGACAGTCTCCACCAACCTTCAGAGTGTGCTTCTTAATGAGTTGGTTTGATGAGATTGATATAAACTGTATGGTCTGTATGTGAGGAAGTGCGACAGCAAGTTCAGTACTGGTTACTGTTGTGATATCACATGGTTCACCATCTAGTTGTAGTTGATCAGACACAGATTGACTGCTGGTATCCACCATCTTAACAGCTTTGTTATTGCCGTCAGTAATGATAATAAGATCATGAGTCAGCAAAGCCATTCCTGTTATCCAGCATCTTGTTTTATCTTTTGATGTCTTCACATTGATTTTTCCCTCATCTGCAGTTTGTCTAGGCGTAATTTGTACTGACTGAGATTTTTTTATTTAAAGTTTTTTTTTGTCAATGTACCTAAAGACTTCTCTGTTTTGACAATATTTAATATGGCATCATTGGATTGAAAGGTGTGCTCTTTATATCATATGATAAAAGTCGTTGTGTTTTTGCCATATTCTGTATTGTTTTCTCTGCAAGTTTAAGCTCCATGAACAGTTTGTTGGCCTGTTTTGATGTGTTAAGTTGTTTGATGTTATCTGATGATGTTCTCAGAGATTTGGTTATATCTTCACATTTTGTTTCTACTGCTTTTAGATGTGTGTGTTGTTATCTTGTTCTATTACTTTAGCTGCATCTTCAGCCTGTCTCTCAAGTTTATCTAGTATTTCGTTGATTTCTTGCCGAAACTTTTTAATGTCAACTAATGCATCTTTGAGAGAGCTGTTTGATTTGTGTGTACTGTCCTTGACATCTTTTAAAATCTGTTGAAATCTTGCAGAAGTAGTATTTACTGCATTAAAGATAACTTGATATTCTTTGCTGTCTATTATATCACCAGAAATGTCTGGTATATAATCAACATTGCAGGGGGTAGCTTGATGTTCAAGGGTAACACAAACACTGCAAAGAAATTCTGTATGATTATTGCAGTAGAACTTGATCGTTTCTTGTGGATGTTTAAGACATGGTGTGGTCAGAGCATCAGACTGGCCTGAGTCAATGGATGTTGAGGGGTGCTGCAAAACTTTAGGCATATTAGTAGCGTCCTGAAGTGTGTGATGTTTGGAAAGCCTACTCACTTTGTGTGCTGTAAAACAATTCTTGCAGAGGTGTTCCTTGCAGTCAGTGCAGAAACCATAGGCAGGTAGTGTAGTTCCCTCCTCGTCACAAGGCTGGCAGTAAAGTTGAAGATCTTCATCTGATGCCATGGATGTTGCTAATGATGAAAATTGTTTAGAAGCTTTCTTTCCTGAGACTGCCATGTTTTACCTAAAATGTATTATAATGGATTACTATATATTGCATGTCTGTCTAATTGTCCTTTTTCATGTAGTTCTGTAATGCTCTAGCAGATAATTTAAAACATAGGTAGTAATTTGCTTAATTTTATGGTTTGTTTGTGGTACAAAGTTGAGCAGAGAATATCTTTTAGCAATAAGATATTCAAGCAACATAAAAATGGTTGTGTAATGATAAATCCAACTAAATAATTATATCTCATCAACATATCTCTTACTGAATTTGTACAAAATATGTACAAATATGTAAGTATGCCATTGTGACATACTAAATGAAATATGTACACATATGTGAATATATCATTGTGACATACACAATGAAATATATACAACAAAATAAAATATTTATTGTGACATGCAAATGAAATGAGGGCATGATTATCATATGAGCTTCTATTTCTAGTTACAAGGTATTTTATCTTCATTTCATAATGACTTTGTTAAATATTTGAAGATTGTTAAACACTGGTTTAACTGACAATCCTTAGTTATTTGTATGGTTTCTATTTTGTTTTAAATATATGTTCTTGAAAATTAGGTAAGGTTAAGCATACATATTATGGTGGAAGGAGTTTCAATAGTCGTATCTTAGGTGGAAGGAAATAGAATCTACCATGCAGAAATGTTAACCATAATGAGACAATGTGAAGAGGCATATTAGACCTTCCAATTCAAGTTTACCTCAGGTCAAGGTCACAATTTGTTTGAATTTCAAAATTGACTTAATGCTTGTATATTTTCGAATCGATGGAAAGAAAATTTTGGCAGAAATATTTCGTATTATGAGACGATGTGTAGAACACATATTTGACCTCTTGAGATCAAAGTTGGCCCTACCTCGGGAATAAATTGATTTATATTGACCTATATAGATATACACATTTAAGTTTCATTATGTGAAACTACTATGTCTACATATTTAGCATGTAGCATTACTTATTGACCTTTACAAAACTGATATGAATCATACCACATGGTTCACAGGCATGAGGGATGTTGCACTTTTTCATTAATTCGTCATGTTGATACTAAATAAAACCAAGTATGCAGTTTTCATTGTAATTTTGTTGTATTATTTAATGCCTCAAAAGGATCACCTTTCTTCCAGATTTTTGTATGAAATTACGAATCCAAGAGCTTAGATATTTGTCATGAAGCAGACATCTTCAAACAATTAAAAAAATTATGCTGCTTTGGTGAAAAAAAGACAAATCCAATATTGACCTAATTCCAAACTTTAACATTTGTTGACATTTTCTAGCACTGTATCTCAGATGAGCGATCCAGGATCATAATGGCTTTCTTTTTTACCTTATATGGGGGTTATTGTCATGTTTTGTATGACAAAATATAAAGCCCTGGCTTAGAATGTTTGCCGTATAAATGAACATGTATAGTGTCAATAATGGTAGGCCTATGTATAGTGAATGTTAAATCTAAGATAAATGTTATCTGCAGACAGACAGCAGAAAAATGATAGGCTCCCATTTATTGACTGAAAGGCATAAAAAGCCTTTTTTTTATATCAGTCATTACTTTTTAAAAATGCCTTTCATATGTTGTTGACATAAAATGTCAGTTTAAACATTGTTAAAAAGTCCTCTTCAATTATGTTTTTATGCCTAGGAAGGGAGGCATATTAAGATCCCACCGCGTCTGTCTATCTGTCTGTCTGTGTGTGTGCAATACCCAATAGGGATAGGGGGCCATCTAACTGTTAACAGAACAAAAGAGAACAATAGAATTCATTCCGTTACAATGGAATAAGGGGTCATGGCCCTCTATTAAACAAAAGAAAATAACAACAGAAATGACCCTTTATCTGATGACTTTATCCCTAATTGGCTGGACATCCGTTCCCACTTCATTGGTGTCCGGACAGTAACTCTGTCATACATTGAGGGATTTTAAAATAGCTTGACCCACATTTCTACCACATGAAGACGATGTGTCACGTTTAAGAACTACGTCCCTACCTCAAAGGTTAAGGTCACACTTACATTTTGAAGTTTCACATTATCACAAATAGAGTTAATAAGTACACATATTCGTGTCTGGACTGTAACTTTGTCGTGCATCGAAGGATTTTAAAAAAATAGGCATAATTGTACACCACATCAAGACGGTGTGTCGCGTCTAAGAATTACATCCTTACCTCTACTGTCAAGTTCACACTACCATTTTGAAGTTCACTTTATTACAATAAGAGTAAATAGGTAAACACAATCGTGTCCGGGCTGTAACTTTGTCATGCATTGGCATAAATGTCTATCACATCAAGACAATGTGTCGCGTCCAAGAATCATGTACCTACCTCAAATTTCAAGGTCACACTACCATTTTGAAGTTCACTTTATCACAATTGGTGTCCGGATTGTAACTTTGTCATGCATTAAAGAATTTTAAAATAACAATGCATAAATGTCAACCACATTAAGACGACATGTCGTGTTCAAGACCCATGTCCCTACCTTCAAGGTCAAGGTCACACTTATAGTTTGAAGGAACTCATTCTCTTGAGAAGAGTTTGAAAATACACATTCATGTCCGGACTGTAACTTTGTCATATATAGAAGGATTTTCAAATGACAATGCACAAAATTTTAATGTCTACTACATTTATCACATTAGTCTTGGAAAAAGACTCATGTCCGTCTGTCTGTCCCCTGTTACACAACAAACATGTCCAGACTGTAACTTTGTTCTGCATTGAGGGATTTTGAAATAACTATGCACATATGTCTATCAGATGACAATGTTTTGTCGCGTCCAAGAATCACATCCCTTTTCAAAGGTCAAGGTCACACTTATATTCTGAAGGGTCACGCTATCACAATTAGAGATTATAGGTACACACATTAGTGTCGGGACAATAACTTTGTCATGCATCAAGGATTTTAGAATAACTTGACACAAATGTCTACCATATTCAGATGAGGTGTTTTGTTTAAAACCCATGTTCCAACCTCCAAGGTCAATGTCACACTAATAGTTTAAAGGTACTTATGCTCATAAGAAGAGTTTGAAGGTACACATTAGTTTCCAAACTGTAACATTGTCATGCATTGAAGGATTTTAAAATAACTTGACATAAATGTCTACCTTATCAAGATGTTGTGTCGCATCCAAGATCCTTGTCCCAAGGTGTTAAGTTTGCTATAATAGCACTCCATAACACAAGAACAATATTAGGCAATAAGTTACTTACATTCTCTTTCCTTTTCATAATACCTGCATGCTTTGGAAACCTTTTCAGTGGCATTTGTCACTTGCGTGACAGCTCTTGCTTTTTTCAAAATCAAAAACAAAAATTTGTCACCAGTATTTTGTTACTGTAGAGCTTGAAACCAAATATATCACGGTTTTAAAATATTTTAACTATTAAGAATCATCGTACCTTAAGTTATCCTCAAAATTGTGTCACAGGTTTGAGATCATGCACAGTAAATTGCTGAAAAATTTAGGTTAAATGTAAATATTTTGCTTGTTTGGTATTATCTGCTATATTTTCCTTAAACTAAGTTTTTGATATTGGACTCATGGACCTTGATCATATTTACGTCTTTGATTTTGACCTGGTATACATTACAAAGGTTATATCTGAAAGATAACACTCATTTATCTAGTTGATAGTAAGAAGTCTATGGTGCTTGAGAGTTGATCAAATTTTAGTTTTATGTTAAAACAAGTACATTGTATTTTAATCATTCAAGAAAGATAAAGTCCTAGTTTTAATTTGAAATTTAGATCTTATGTTATTCCTCCTCATTGTTGAAAGGAAGTTCAATCTTTACCTCCTATTTAAGTTAATTGGTTTTCAAATTGTTTAAATTGTCCTAACAATGTATAAAGATCATGAACTTTATTATTATATTATTATTATTTATCTATTATTAATGGCAGAATAAGTAGACTTTCCAATCAGGTTTTTCAATTTTTGGACAGAAAAAAAGAAAAGATAAAAGATAATGTTTCGCATATTTTCGAACATGCTATCCCATAAATTGAAACTGAAAGTCTTTACTCCTTGTCATTCTGACTATTTAAGCAAGTGATGTTACACACTTTAAGTTATATATAAAACATGTGTACCGTTATGATATACTTTAAAACTGTTAAGATTATTTCGAAATCCGATAATTACCGACTAAAAGTCATTGAATAATCAAATATCTCAGGTATACCTTGCCAAACAATACCCAGACATAGCTGTCTGTGATTTTTAAAGATACAATGCCTCATTAGGCCCGTTTCAGTTTAAAATTATAAGATATACGCAGAGTTAAGAGTTTCCAGTTTTTGAAAATTTAGAAAATGTACTCACCACTGAGAGCCTAATAGCTGTATAGTGACAGATCAATAAGTCCGCAAACATATAACGAACCAAGACCAAGGCTGACAATGAGGTAACTTTAATGTTATGCGGTCCGATGCACTTTGTACTATTTTCTTAAAAAAAATTTGTTCATTATGAACAGTTCATCTCAACGCTAAATTTGCTAATTGGAAAACGCTGCATTAACAACAGTTCAAACATGAATTCACCAATTTTACATTTCCTGGAAACTACTCAGATGTACAATGAATAGAAACTTTGATTTTTAATATTCCATGCAAAGTTTACAAAACAGATATAATTTGACAGCATTTTACCTATGTTCACACTTAAATGTGGCAGCATGTACTAGCTCGGAAGTAGCTATAAAGCAGTTTATCATATACATTGAAAAGGTAGCTCTGTACTTTATATTTATACATATAGCAGGATAAAGGAGCAAAAACCACGGACTAAGGATTCTTTCATTTGACAAAGCTATTTATCATCGGTGTTTCTATCAAGGTGTCCGCCTGTGCCTAAAATAATGTACAGAGAGGCACCTGAGTGAATGTGTGACCAAGAAATTCCTGGTCCGCTCTCTGACTTCTGATCTATCTGGCATGTTCATTACACTGGTGTAAAATGTTTGTTCTCATTTTGATAATTAGCAAAAGACACTAGCCTTGGTTGTGTTTGTTTTACTTGTCTTAAAGCAATTAATTTACTTAATGTTAAAATAATTGACTTTTGCTCAAGTTGTGTTATATTACTTTGTTACGTTATTAAGATTTTATGTTCATACTTATTTTACACTTATTCCCACATTAACATGTTGAATTATTCAAGTTTGACCTTGACCCTAAAGTGACTTGACTGTCAGTCATATCTTTTATTATTAACAAATATATTTGATGCATAATTTGATCAAATAAAACTCTAATGACTGTGAACATGGACATGTTAAAAAAATCAAGTAAGACCTTTATCTGTACCTTAAATATCAAGGTCAAACATGGAATTTTGATCCAATTTTGTACTAATGTTTTTCCCCTGATTTGTGTTTGCTTTTGGAAATGAGAATAAGTTGAGTGTGGCCCTTGCTTGGTAGTGGCTCTTGATTTTTTACTTCGCCCCTGTTCTTAGAATTAGCCCTGCTTAGGAATTCACTCTACACTTTACAAAGACATTTTATGAAAAGCACCCTTAAACATTTTTGTCTTTTAAGAGCCACTCCCAGTAGCTTCAGTCCAGACATTCGCAGCTTTATCTGCAGATTAATTTTTTTTTCAAATCTGCAGCCCTTAACGAAAACTTCTCAACAAAATTTGAGTAATATGCAATAAAGTTTAAATATTTGACAAAATATGTGTACCTTTTGCTTTATTTAGGTGAATGATATATCTGTTAAATTGGAGAGTATTAAAGGGAAAGGCACTGCTGCCATGGCAGAGTTAAAAAATGGCCAGGCATCACCACTGAATGTTGACTCCCCTTAACCAGTCACGAAGCAAGATGCTTTTTCAGTCTTACAGAGTATATCAAAATGTCAACAATACCAAAAAGCAATACAGCTTGTTAGATCTTTCAGGTATGGTATGGTAGGAAACTAATTAATTATTTTGTTATAGATATCCTTATCAATGTAATTTTTATAAGTTATTTATTTAAATGTATTAAACATCAACAGCATGTTCAATTTGTAGAAAATCGATGACTTCTAACCATTTTCACAAGTAAGTAAACTAAAATTGCTTGTTCATATTTTTGAAAACAGTTGTGAATTAAATAAATAAATTGTCTTATCAAGGGCTAACTGATAAACAGACACCGTATTTACCGGTATTAACACAAACAAATGATATAAAATACAAATTAATCGTCCTTACTGAACATTATGACAATCTCATAGATGTCTTATTTAATATATATATACTGTAGTTCTCTATTTTACGAAAAAGATGATTTTATAGGACAAAACAGACCTAAAAAAAGTGTAGTTGCTTGTCTTTGAACGTTTTTAAAGCCGCGCATTACAGCATAATCAAATCCCGTAAAATAAAATTGACAAAACATTGTTGCTCATCACTTAATGAAATGTTACATTCAAACTTCACTCTATGGTTTCCAGTTTATTATTAGAATGAATAAAAAATTCAGGACAATGTGGCCTGATTACATGTTTGGGCAATCACAGGATGATGACCTTGTTACCCTGCTCAATGTGTTTTGTATTAAAATTGCTGAAAAGAAAACAGGTACCAGTAATGTCATATTATCAATATTTCATATTTGTAAAATATCTTGATCATATTTTTAGAGAATTCTCTTCTTTTTTCAAGCATGTTTTCCTCTTAAAGGAACAAACTGCAATTATTATTGATTACTTTTAATTAGATATTGTATCAATGATTAATGTAGAAATGTTATTATCAAGATATTATACCGACTATGTCTGTTATCTTTCAGGTGTATTTGTTCTAACAAGGTGGTGTTTGACATTTGTTTGTTATATGGCCAGTTATTGGACATAAATCAACAAATTAGAAACTGGACTATACCCTCTCCTCAACAGCAGTGAACAGGAAACAACGATTTATTGGACTCTAGTACGTTATGATAATAAAGCTATTATGACCGGGACAAGAAATCTACAATTTACTGGACTAAAGTAAATAATGATGGTAAAGTGTGTTTTTAACAGGATAAGAAACAACAATTTATTAGACTTGAATTAATAATGATTGTAAAATGAATTCTGATCAGGACAGAAAATTACAATTTATTGGACTTGAATTAATAATGATGGTAGAATTATTCTGATCAGGACATAAAACTTTAATTTATTGGACTTGAATAAATAATGATGGTACAATAAATTCTGATCCGGACAGAAAACTACAATTTATTGGACTTTAGTAAATAATGATGGTATCATAGGATTTAGTATATCACATATTCTGATTTTGGCATTGATATTTCTTGCTTTGTGAGAATTTATAAAGGAAGTAAACATGGCTTACAACACTTTTAAGTGTTTAAAAGTGAGTACCTCACAAGCCATTACTAGAGGGAGTGAGGGATGTTGCACTATTTCATTATCCCTTATGTACAGACTCAATCAAACCGAATCTGAAATTTTCGTGTAGTTTTGTTGTTACTGATGCTTCCGAGGGATCACTTTTGTCCAGATTTTTTTACAGACATTTCGGACAGTATTTACGTTTTACCAGTCAATTATGGACAACTAGTGTATTTTAACACCTTTATTAATTATTCAGTGTCCACTAGAAAGTATGTTTCTCGTACTATAGAGAGCAGAGACGATTTACTTCCTATATGTTTGTTGTTGTGTGGAGATATCCATCCGTGCCCCGGACCCTCAGCTGACACTTCTAGTTCCACCACAAGTGATTTTAAAGTTTTCAATAAACGTGGTCTTCATTTTATTCATGTCAACACTAGAAGTCTTTTACCAAAACTACATGAAATTAATTCTGTAGCTCGTAGATCTAGAGCCGCATGTATTTGTGTTTCCGAAACCTGGTTAGATGACTCAGTTCCAGATTCTGAAGTTAACATCGACAACTATTGTATTCAGCGCAGGGATCGAAACAGACAAGGGGGTGGCGTTTGTATTTATATCAGGAAGGATTTATCCTACAACACACGCGATGATCTCAAGCATGAAGAATTAGAAGCTACATGGATTGATATACTTTTACCAAAATCAAAACCTATCTTATGTGGTGTTATTTATAGACCTCCTGTGCAACTAAACTTTTATACAATTTTAGACTCTTTATTCTCGTCAAGTAGTGACTTTTTACAATGTGAATCTATAATTTTAGGAGATTTTAATACAGATGTGTCTAAAGTTAAGTCTTATCCTCTTTTGCAATGTTGTAAGTCATTTATTAATATGTTTCATTACAAACAATTGATCTCAGAACCTACTAGAGTTAGTATTTCAAGTGCAACTATTATTGACTTGATATTGGTGCCTGATAATGATAAAATTTCTCAGTCAGGTGTAATTCATACTTCATTTAGTGATCATAGCTTAATATTTTGTACAAGAAAAGTCAGTAAAATTCCTATTTGTTTTCATAACAATGTCACTTTAAGATCTTTGAAAAAGTATAACAAAGATGAATTTCAAGCTAGTCTTCTAGATACTGACTTGTCTCTTGTTTTGCTAAG